GGATAATCTGAGTTGCAAGGTGCAGGATTTGGGGTGATCTGAGGCATGATGGTGCAGGAATTGGGCCTGATCTGAGATGTGAAGGTACAGGAATTGGGACTGAAAAATAGAGAGACAGAAAAAAATGTGTGAGGGCCTCCAGGAAATCCATAAAACCATATCAGGCCTTTAATCCAAGCATGCAACCTGGGTGACCAGGAAAAGGGTGGGACAAGCATGAGGTCTCCCCCACGAACTACAGCAGACCGCATGCCCTCAACATGGAGGAATATCTTTCCCTGGCAGAGTAACTTGTCCTGAAGTTGATGAGAACTAGGGCCCCCTGGCTGGTGGTTGTGGGGATCTACAGGGGGAAGGGTCTATTGTAATCTGGAAACCCACTATAATAATAAGGGGTCCCCCAGGTACTGCCCCCTTCTACGTGAATAAGTAACGGGTACATAGTACTCCTACTCATTAAAAAAAAATATTTATCTAACAAAAAAAGACAAATGGTGACAACAGAGAACCATTCCTGTGCAATGTGTGATGAAGCAGCCACTTGTACTCTCCATTGATAGGTGACAATGTAACTGGGAGGCAGTGACAGAGCATGTAACCTTATCGTGTGACCTTATAACAGGAAGTGGCAAAACTAGGAAATTCATAGCAATATCATCAGATATTATTTAATGAACATTGTTGCACATGATTGGATAATGGAAATCAGCAGAGCTTTAGCACAATTATGAAACTCCAGGGAAAAATTAGTGCAACTGCACTTCCGAGGTGCATAGTCTACTTGCCTTTAAACAATCCACCCCAAGGTTTTCCAACAGTGACCATTAGAAGACAGTCTCCCAGTCTTGTCTTATTTTGACATATTGGCGGACAATCAAAAGTCTGCGGGTCATAGTGTGACAAGTGAAGATGAGGAGCAAATAATCAAGTAGATTAGAAATCCTTACCCAATTGCTATGGTTTCCCTAACATTGTGATTCTGTGGTCAGTCCTGCTAGCTTCTCCATTGCCCTAAACAGGAGTGGTCTCCAGACTAGAAAAACTGGGGAAAGAGACACCATGAAACTGGCAGGTGCTGCATGTACATCTGACCACTGACTGTTGGCTATGTCCAGCTTAACCTGTGCTAGAGCTTTTACCAAAGTATGTTGGCCCCGGTTTCAGCATAGTTGACCATAGATATGAGAACTTTAGAATCGCAATCAGCCAGATTGAGAGATGGTCACATCGTGTCTTTATGTCTGAAGTGTCTATATAGACATCTAATTTCTATTTACTGTACGCATTTGTCTATTTCTTTTTTAAAATGCTAAAAAGCTGAATATTTATGATGTGAATTACACAACTTAGAACAACACAGACATGAAACTTGATGGGAGAGAATACACGGAAAGAACTATTATTCTGCATTTGTAGTCTACTGGCTCCTTTGCCTGGTGGTCATCTGCAAAAGTAATTCCGGTAATGGATCTCTACATCTGAAAGACCACAGAATCTTGAATGGTACCAGATTTCCTCTTTAAGGAAGCTTTCACACGGTGTCAATTATGCTTTCAGGTTCTGGAAAAATGTGCAAATATGGTTTAGCCTTTAACCACTGTAAAACACAAATACAGCCTCCATGTTATTCATTGAATAATTACAATAATTGTGTGAATTAAAATACCATACTCATGTGATGCCTTGTACAGTTCCATACCTGGCTCTGTGATAGTACCTGTGTCAGGTGTCATGCAAACAAAGACCTATGGAGATGTCTGTATTGGGACCCGCAGTTGACCAATCATCCCTTAACATAAGATATCCATAATACATTACCTTGTCTAGTGCTACTTTTTTATTAAGAAATATACAATGAACATTAAAGGAGAAATATAACCAAAGCTATTTTGGCTGTACTTCTCCTATGGATCACAGGAGTACAGGGGTGGACTGACCATTTGGAAACTCAGGCACTGCTCGAGGGCCTGGGGTCAGTAGGGGGCCCCATGAGATACCCATGGTACCTTTTTCATAGGCTTTTTTGAGTTTGGGCAAGGACACAGGGGCCCCATGATCCCCTATTGCCCGGGGGCCCCATTAGTTGTCAGTCCACCCCTGCAGGAGTATAATTGGTCCTGCACTCCTGTGACCGGTTTTCAGCCGAGAGCGGGCTTTAGCGGGCTGACATCACAGAGCCTGTCCAGGCTCTGAAAAGGTCCTTACCGTATGACCAGGATCTGCCCAGAAGCCTGTACTGGCAACTGGCTCAGCCCCTTAGTGAGTTTAGTGAGCTGTTGAGAGCCTGAGCCAGCTGATCCTACTCTCTCCACAGCCCAGTGCTCCAGTAAGTGCTGAAGGGGCAGTGTAGACAGCCAGTGAGATCCGTGGAAAACGGCCGACGTGCTGGCCCCACTAACGGCGTGAATATCGGCCGATTTTTCGTGCGGATGAAAATTCAGCCGATAAACAACCCGTCTATGGCCTGCCTTACAGTGGAACACCAGACAGACCGCTAAATGAACAGTTCAAATACATACACAGTTTATTTATCTTTTACCAGACAAAGTATTTTTAATTTGTCCAGCCATTCTTGTGAAACACACCTTTACTGGTCAGAAAGATCACTCTACATCTTCTTGATCCCATGTGTTGATAACCCTTATTTCTTTAATGTGAGGTTGATAAGGTGCTAATTCATAGATATCTTATAAATCTAGGAGCAGTTCATACATTACTGATCTCTGTGCCAGATTTACGGCTTCCTGAGACCAAAACATAGAAGAATAATGGCAGAAAAAAGACTGTGCACTCCATCAAGTCTTTCCCTTTTTTTCTGAGTCTGGATCTATGTTTGTATCAAGCATGTTTGAGTTCACTAACTGTTCTCTGACTCGTTACCTCTGTTGGAAGTCTATTCCAAGCATCAACTACTCTTTCTGTAAAAGAAAATACTTTCTAAGATTACTTTTGATTCTCCCTCCTCCTAGTTTGAGGTTATGTCCTCATGTTCTTGATCTATCTTCTAGCTTTCTATTGAATATGCTACCCTTTTGAACCTTTATCACCATCTTGATGTAGTTAAGGTTTTCAATCATGTCTCCCCTTTCCCTTCTTTTCTTCAAACTGTGCCTGTTCCTGAAGTCTCCCTTTATATGTTATATCTGTCAGCACCTGTGGTAGTGAGCTCTTGATGATACTCAACTTGGGGTTCCCCAAGGCACGGAGTCTAAGCCCCAGCCTGCTTCTTCACCAGAGCCCCTGATGGTGGGGATGGACTTGCAGCAAGCTGGGACCAGGTCGTGGCCCCCAGGTACGCCCAGCTGAGGTTGAGGAGACCGCTAGTGGGAGCAGAGTATAATGGGAGGAGACAAACGAAATCCAATAGGCTAGCTGAGGTCAGAACAGCCAGAAAACAAGCAAGGTCAGAGATCGAAGCTAGGATCAGTACACAAGTAGTCAATGTAGGATTCAGACAGTAGTAACACACAGGAACTCCGACAACTAGGAAGTTGCTCAGGCAAAGTGGCCTAGTTTGAGCATGTCTTATATAGACAGGCAAACAAAGAGGCGGGCCAGGAAGTGATGGAAGTGAAGGAAATAAAACCCAGAGGACAGCAGACAACGCCCGTAGGTGAGCACAGACAAACACATGAGAAAGGATCAGGAACAGGACTGCAGCAAGAAGGTAAGAACACAAACAAGAAACTGCAGGCTAACTTGTGACAATATACTGTACTTCAAACTGTGCCTGTTCCTGAAGTCTCCCTTTATATGTTATATCTGTCAGCACCTGTGGTAGTGAGCTCTTGATGATACTCAACTTGGGGTTCCCCAGGGCACAGAGTCTAAGCCCCAGCCTGCTTCTTCACCAGAGCCCCTGATGGTGGGGATGGACTTGCAGTAAGCTGGGACCAGGTCGTGGCCCCCAGGTACGCCCAGCTGAGGTTGAGGAGACCGCTAGTGGGAGCAGAGTATAATGGGAGGAGACAAATGGAATCCAATAGGCTAGCTGAGGTCAGGACAGCCGGAAAACAAGCAAGGTCAGAGAACGAAGCAGGGATCGGTACACAAGTAGTCAATGTAGGATTCAGACAGTAGTAACACACAGGAGCTCCGACAACTAGGAAGTTGCTCAGGAAAAGTGGCCTAGTCTGAGCATGTCTTATATAGACAGGCAAACAAGGAGACGGGCCAGAAAGTGATGGAAGTGAAGGAAATAAAACCCAGAGGACAGCAGACAACGCCCGTAGGTGAGCACAGACAAACACATGAGAAAGGATCAGGAACAGGACTGCAGCAAGAAGGTAAGAACACAAACAATAAACTGCAGGCTAACTTGTGACAATATCCTTCAGCCTGTGCACTATTTTTGTTGCCCATCTCTGGACACATTCTACCTTATCAATATCTTTTTGCATGGAGGTCTCCCAAACTGGGCACAATATTCTAAATAAGGTCTTACGGAAGATCTATGAAAGGGAATCAGGACCTCCTTCCTCCTGTTGATGACCCCTCTACTGATGCATCCTAGAATTCTATTCGCATTTCCCACTGCATGACCACACTGCTCATTTTGCAATGAGCCTGTATTCCTCTTTGATGTATTAAATGTGCACTAAGTTAACTAGTATTCCTATGAACATGTAGAGTATACTAGTAAAAAATGGGTTGAACAAGCACCTGGAAGTTACAGAGGAGCAGAAATCTGTTATCGGACAGAGGTGAGGATACTGATTTAGCCATGGTTCACACTAGTGCAACTTCATGTGCTACATGTGATTTACAAGTCACACTTGAAGTCACATCTAATGTATTTCTATGGCACTTTCATAAACAGTGCCATTAGAAGTAGCACAATTTCAAAATTAGTTCATGCACTACTCTTTTCCAATTCCATTGTGACTTTCAATGCTGCAATGAAATTGGAGGTACAAACTGCACTGATCTGCAGCTTTGAAATCATGCTAATTCAAAAGAACTAGTGCGATTTCAAAGTCGCATTCAGTGTGAACCAAGACTTACTGTCTAAGGAGCAGGATGGATGCATAGAGTTGACAAAAGAAGGCACAGAGCTGACACAGGAATATGAATTTCTTAGTTAGGACCGTTGAGTGTCACCTGTCTTGCTGTACAGTCTGCAACAGGTGTCTAAATCACAAAATTGTATAAATTGAATTACAAATCTTTGGCAGGCAAAACATTGCACATTTTCAAAATGTGCATTTACTGTAATTGTTTGTCAGGCTTTGTACTTTTCCTCTGATTTTGCTGGGTTCTGAGTGCTATTCCTCTGCACTATTTGTGATTGATGCAGTACTGCTAAATGACTTGAAGGGACTGGTGTAATATATGTAGATGAAAGGAGTGGGCAATGGCACTGGATCAATATTGGGGGGCTAGTACCACACAAAGTTTATACTGCAATATTTATGGGTTGTATAATATTGCCGGTGGCAGGAATAAGTTATTTCTGATAAAATAATGGAGGTGACAGATATGGAAAAATAATGTAAATGATTTAAATATTGCAGGGGTCAATTTTTGTTCTGTTAGCATGATAGTTGTAGTATTTATTCCATTGTTAATATAAAGACATGATCAACATAAAAGCACCCTGTAAAGTATATTTACTTTAGGGTGATATTTTTTCCATACAGAGAATGTTAAAGGCTATCTAAAGAAATAAGGCAGTGCTTTCCAGACTTGACGAATTAACCAATCTTTTGTACAAACAATTTTATTAGTTTATTTATTTATGACAGGTGTTTATATAGCACTGACAATTTACAATGTGCTTTACATATATATTGTACATTCACGGCATTCCCTCAAGGAGCTTAAAATATAAAGTCCCTAACTTACATTCATACATACACATACTAGGGCCAGTTTGGACAGAAGCCAATTAACCCTACCTACAGCACATCTTTAGAGTATGGAAGAAAACTGAAGTACACGAATGAAACCCATAGAGGCCACAGGAAAATATGCAAACTTTATTGAAAAAAAAAGTCTCTGTTTCTTAGCTTTAAAAAGTACACGGCTGTCAGAGTACCCAAACAGTGACTGCATCTGATAGGCTGCAGTCACTGTTCAGCCAACAATTTTCCAACCAGCTTTGATGGTTTTTTAAAAAGAAATTTGTTGAGCCAGGTGATGACTCACCCATGGCTTGAATTCCAAACAACATAACAGGAATTGGACATAATTTGAGCACAGTATGGCTACCATATATTTATTCAAGACCTTTGCCTTTTGCACTTACCTGACTTTTTCCTTAAAATTATCTGTGTCCCTATTTTTCTCTTACTACAGATAGCTAGCAGGGATGAGCAGAGCGAAAGCCAATGTTTTCTAAAACAAAAATAAGAAGAAAACAAAAAGGATCCTATTTTATTGGTGTGTTTTTGGAGGAGGTATATTTAGGGCAGGGTTTCTCAACCTCTTTACCTTGAAGGAACCCTTGGCAAAATGAAAGGGACAATGTAAAAATAAAAAAGCAAAATAAATAATTAAAAAAAATCAGCCAGAGAAAGCCGTGGAAGGTGGTGAGAAGAGGGGAGTCCCTTCCCACTGATTGCATGAAGCGCATTGTTGTCTCATATCTATACCTGGTCATGGAAACAGAGAACATGGGCATATGATCAATTGGGTCTGTGGACCATTATGACCGCAATTCATTCTTTTTTATAAAGCCTATGTTGAGGGTTAGGCCCAAAAAAGTATTAAATTTGGAGACCGTGATAGGTTTCTTTGAGAACTGTTTGGCAAGAGCTGAATTTGGGTGGGCGGCGATGTATTGTTGTGCCTTTTCATTTATTCTTTTTTTTCCCACAATCAATTGATACAAATATACAGTGAAATACAGCGGAGGGGCTAAACACTAGTGCTGTCAGCAAGTGGGGCTAAACCTACTAACACTGCATTTCTGGGGACACTATACTAAGGGAGCACTATTATAGTTCTGTTAGTGATCAATATATTGTTACGTACAAACACTATACTAGTAATGGTGATGATCAGCGATCTATAGCTTGAGTGTGATAGTTTGCGGCCAATCTAACGCTAGCTAACCCTGGGTGGGACCCTGGCCCTAACTGTTATCGCTAGTGGCATTGATAAAGCGATCAGTGAAAACTTCTATATACTGACACTGTACTAATGGCACTGACTGAGTGACAGGGGTAATCAAAGCGTTAATAGGGGCTATCAAAAGGGTTAAATGTGCTAATTTGAAGTGTGTGTAAAATATAGTGCTTTTACTCAGTGTGGGGTTCTCTCTTCTCTCTCTGGACTGACAGGGGGGCAGTGTGGGGCACGCGCATGCGCGCTCACACCCAGAAATAGATTGCAATGTAAAAGTACATTACTTTTCCCACATTGCAGGTGGGCAATCGGCAAGTAGTTAAAGTGTTACTAAACCCACAACAGTAAAATCAGTCTGTATATGCAGTAAAGCATGCTTGTTATACTCGCTGTGGAACCTAAGGAGTTAATCCTCCATACTGTGTAAAAAGATGTTTGATCCTGTGTTCTCTGATCCTCCCCTTCTACTGTCCCCCATCCCTCTGCTGATAGAACAGAGCCTTGGGGGCAAGCTGCATGTGCTCGGTTTGGTGTGTATTGCTAGAGAGTTTTTTTTCTATTGCATTTGATCAGCACAGGGCCAATACAGACAGAGGTCAGGGGTTTTGCAGCCTCATAGGACAATCGGGGGAGAATGAAAACTCCTCCTACAAGCTTTAACCAGTGCTCTGCTGGGCACTGATAGAAGTCATAAGACTGCTCTAGCTGCTGAAGAGCAAAGGTATTTAGGAGTTTATATTTACTAAAATAATTGCATTTCCATGTTTTGTGTACTGTGGGAGACCAGATGTAGTGAATGCAGGGTCCTGGGTTTAGTAACACTTAAAAACAAAAAAATTTAAAAAAAAGTGAAACATTCTCAAGGTTTTAATTTTTTAACATTGTTTTTCATTTTTTTAAACTATTTAAAATAAAAAAAAATACTTTCATCAGAGTAGTTCATGGTAGTGGATGGTAAATGGATAAGCAGTGTACATGGAGGCAGCAGGGCGGGGTATGGGTGGCCAGAAGGGTACAGTACATGGGGGAAGGAGGACACATTACATTGGGGGCAGCAGGCACATTACATGCAGGGGCAGCAGGCACATTACACAAGGGGGAGCAGCAGGGCACATTACATGGGGGCAGGGCACATAATATGAGAGCAGGGCACATTAAGTGGGAGAAGGGCACATTACATGGAAGCAGAACATGTTAACTGGGAAAGTTAATTTCAGCAGCTCCCGCCCTCTTTTCATTGGTGCTGTGTCTCCCGCTCTGCATGTACAGACGTGTTGTCATTCTGCCTCCTGCTCTCCACTCTACTGTGTTATTGACAGTGGCAGAGGAAATCTGGCAGCTGGCCCTGGGTGTCACCTCTCTGGTGGGTGTCACCTGGGTGCGGTCCACAATGTTTGACAAAAGAAAAACTACTGTAACCCTCAAAAGCTATTTATTCCATTTTGCACTCTTGAAAACCATCAAAAAAACACCTGTAATTCACCATCCTCATTGACTGCAATGTATCTTGCCATATATCAACATTTGACTGAAATCTTAAGATTCTTGCCAAAGATTCTTGCCAAAATTGCAAGGGGAATAAAAACGCTTGATTTTGCACACCCCTGTGGCTTTTTTTGTTTCTTTTTCATGAAGTGTAAATAAAAGGTAAAATGTACTACATAAGGGATATAATTAATTTTTATTATGATCTTTATGAAAGTATTTATAACTGTCAGCAATAGGAAAACCCATCTGTACCTTATCACCGTCACATCTAATAACTGAAACTTTTGTATGAGAAATATCGTCTTCATTATTGTAATATGTAAGGACATATCCACGTCAAAGTATTTTAGATGCCTTTTATATGGCTAGTATACCTATGTTTTATACTTCCTATACTAATTATCGGAGGATTTCTGGTAAACAATGAAGACATACTATTTGTCTAGTTCTATAGTTGTGGAAAGGATGATACAAAATAATGAAAAGGAGTTATTATGAAACTTTAGCCACCATATGCTTGTTCTTGGCTCTCTATAACCTGGAGCAGCCAGCTGTCTGTACTGGGTGACAATATCTCATCTCACCACATAGAGCTGCTATTTAAAAGCTGTATCAGTTCTCCTTATTTCCTGACAAGCACTTCCCAGTACTTCAACAAGTCGTCTTCAGTCATTATATGCTGCAGGCTGACAGTTTTCTGTTTACAGTCCAATGCAGCTAATACGGGTCTGGAAACAAGGTGACTTGTCTGGGCTTTAGAAGGCTCCGGTCCTGCAGGGGAAAAAGGATACAGCTCATCATCAATACAGATGGCTGCCTCAAGTGTCACCTTACCAGAATGACGGCTTAAAGTTGACTTATAGGACGTATGAACTGTGCTGCCCATCACATGCTAACATCTGAGCAGACTATGCCACAGGAATGAGGCACAAGATGGGTTAGACTTGACCAAATGTAAACTATTACTAAAATAATAAAACTTGTACTAAACTCTTTTAAAAAACTCTAAAATTAACCAACTTGTAAGCAGGGTACCAAATGTGTCAATGTTTTCCATTAGAGCAGGGGTCTCCAAACTATGGCCCTCCAGCTGTTGAAGTACTACAAGTCCCATCATGGCTCTGTACTGGGAGTCTTTCAAGTACTACTTGCAGGTTCTCAACACCTGGAGGTCCATAGTTTGGAGACCCCTGCAGTAGAGGATATTCCCATGGTCAATCAACCCAAAATTGAGCTCTCAGAGCCCTGATGTGACCATAATGAGGGGTTCCCACTTTCCCTATTGGTTTTATTCATTTTAAAGGATTGACTGGAGAATGCAGCAAAAAGGTGCCAGAGGGCATACATGTGACCAGAATCTTCCAAAATGCCTACAGTAGGTGGTCAGGAGCCAGGATTTATTATGGGAAGATTTTATGGTTGGAAAATCAAACACATATAAGCCAGCTCAGCTTATAACTAAAATTTGTTTGGATGGACCGTTGATGTAAAATCCAAAATCACCTTTGAAACACACATTAAGAATGTTAAACTGGATGTAAAGCCCACTTTTTAAGTTGTACCTACAG